ATCTGCTAAAATTTGTTTTGATGGTGACCAAAGATAAGTCCACCACAGTGAACATCTCCAGGGAGTGCTGATACTTTTTGCACGATGCATCGAGGTTGTGCGCTTCGTACCAATTTTTATAGATTTTTTTACATTTGGCTGAACACATGCACGATAAATGTCCAAAGTTCCAGTTGACATGTGACGATCTTACCGGGTAAATCTCGTCAACCAAAACGACGGCGATGTTGCTGTAGAATGGGGTTAGTGAGTTTTAAAGCGAGTTGGAACTTTGTCGATGATTACCACCACAGGCATGTTTCTCTGCTACACCCCATGGTTAGACTGGCTTCTAGATGAATGTTTCGCGCAACTCCCTAATTAAAGAAATGTAATCATTTTTATCCGTATTTAATGGTGAAACTGTTGGGGTTGCTGCGTGTTAGTAATCTGGTAGAGGGATCTCTGTGACCAGATTTGTATCCACTTTCTGGAACGTCTTGTAATCTGCTGAATGTAGTGTACAGCACTCGGGACATTTTCCTGTTTACAACCCTTAGCCGGTGGTGGCAATTCCACATTTCTTTGGCGGGGGTGGTGGGTGGTGGCGAGTTTATGCAAAGTACAAGCGCTGTTGACTCCCCCAAGAAGTGGCACCTAATTGTATGACCCTGAAAGAATATTGGGGCTGAGACAACCCCCTAACCAGCACTTGAACTCTCAACCTTCTTCTCGCGAGCCGCTCGTAGAGCCACCTGGGTACTCTGAAGGGGGGAACATTCTGAATGTGGCTCACAAATTATGAATGGCGGTGGCGGTAGCACCCGCTGGGTCGTGCAGCTGCCGTTCACGCGAGAGGGCTGGTGGGGGGTGGTGGGGCTAGCTGGGTGGGTGGGGCTGGCTGGGGCTGGGGGCTGGGTGGGCACCGCGGGTTGCCGCCCCGCTCGTGGCTCACGCCACCACTCGGTTGCGTCCGAGTCCTCCGTGATATTCACGAGCGCTCATCCCAGTTGCTGTGTAATGCCTACGGGGCAGGGCTGCGGCGGGGAGGGAAATGACACGGCGACATCGCAGTGACACCACGCGGCTGCCCGCCCTCTCGCGCTAATTAATATTCATGATGTCGTGGCTTTGGCCGTGACATTTGGGGCTCCCACGGCAGGCAGCGCCCAAGACTTAAGAGGAGCCAAAAGACGGTGGGTGGAACTTATCAGCGTGTTGCTTCGATCCGCTTGGCTACTTTGTTTTAACTAGTTTTATAACTTTTGATTTAAAGCTTTCGTGACTGCAGGGATTCATATTCTTGGTTTTTTCGGTAAAGTCACGTAGAAGGGAAACAATAAAATAATAAAAATATAAAACAATAAAATATAATATAGTTTTATAACGTTGTATTAATACTGTTCTGCGAATAATGTAACACATTGAGAACGTGCTTGTCCAGAAACGCCTTCTGCTCACTGCTCATGCTCTCTCTCGCTCTGCATGGGAAAAGGAAATGTATTTCCAGACTCAACGTTAGTCCGGTGTTCCGCAGCATTAGTGGCCATTATCCCCGGCACCATGCCCTTTTAGACAAAATTTGGTTACAAGATACCCGTGCGTAACGCTAATGGACGGAAACGGAGCGAGCTTTTTTCTCAAACGATGGGCACGCTTGAGACGTAGTGGAGGAACACGCAGCGCTGAAGGATACATCTTGATTACATCCATTGAGCATTGATAGCAAAGCTGCGTTACAAATGATGGCACACAAATTTGAACGGGTTAAAGTGTAGTGAACGCGTGGCTTAACCACAGAGAAATTTAAACGTGATTCTTTGTATAATAATAGGGGTTTCCCCTTTTTTTCTGGCCACAGAACTGAAACCTTTTGTCCTTATTTTCAGTGTTTTTTGTTTGCATTTTGACTGAAAGTATTGTGGTTAATGCAGATATGAATGCTTGTAGAAAGGTTTCAGTTTTGTTGCCAGAAAAAAAGGGGAAAAAACCCTTTTATTATATTTTGGTACTGGCAAAGGAGGTCTAATGATGTGATTCTTAGTCCGAGTGGTTTGCATTTCAAGAAGCCTTTGGGGTAAGAACATTGGAGTATAATCGTTTGCCATCGCAGCCATTGAAATTAAGTCTTTATTCTTACAAAGTCCGCGTAAGTTCTGGTTGAAGTCGCTCAGACAGGATCTCTCATCCCTGGTCACGGTTATTTGCTGAACCAGGTGAGAACTCACAAGACCAGAATTGTTTCATTTGTAAGGGTGACCTAGAGCATTTATCTGCCAGTAGGGGGCGATTATTGCTCTGTAAGATCTAAATTGAGTCATATGCAGGTACATTTTCACATTTGGAAAAATCGAATCCTGATGCCGGCACACAATGATTGCCTACCTATGCGAATGACATCAGGGGATCGTTAACGTCTGATGTCAAGCAGATAGTTCATATTATAATTGAAGTTATTACACCGCAGTATTAGTCAGGGTGACCGCTGATTTCGAATCATGATGCTTTACAACGGCAGCGAATAGTCTAGAACAGTCTCGTTTTATTACAGTTTGCTGGTAAATAAACGTCACGATCGCTGTAGACCTCAACACATGCGTCAAATACCTCTGCCTTAAGAGGTCGTATATGCATAATAGGTGACGTTTTGGGGAAATCACCCCTTGCAGCGTATGTTTTTTTTCTTTTTAAGGCAGTGTTATTGATGAACGTGAATGTATTGCTATTTGTGCTTGTACACCCACCGCCAACGCAGCAGCAACATCACCAAATAATTTGTTTAATCTGTAGACCTGCTTGCTGCCAAGCCAGCAATGCAGGGAGCGTGGCCGGCTTTGCCATCAGTGGTCGCTCCGACAGCTGTGGGTAAGTGGTGTACCGACCACTTGCGCTGTCAGATCTGATATCTTATATAGATTTATATAGCACCTTATTCCAAGGTGCTTTACAGCAATTCTACAACTCTATGTAATATGACAGTGGTTGACATAAAGAGTGGGGTTATTAATAGTGGTGTAGTTGTGGTAACAGGAGAATGCGTGGGAGAGGTTAAGGAGGGATTGGGGTAGTGATAGGGGTTGGGGTAGTGATAGGGGTCGTGATAGGGGTTGGCGTAGTGATAGTGGTAATGGTTGGGGTAGTGATAGGGGTTGGGGTAGTGATAGTGGTAGTGATAGTGGTAGTGATATTGGTAGGGGTAGTGATAGTGGTAATGGTTGGGGTAGTCATAGGAGTTGGGGTAGTGATAGGGGTAGGGATAGTGATAGGAGTAGTGATAGTGGTAGGGGTAGTGATAGGGATTGAGGTCGGGATCGGGGTAGAGGTAGTTATAGTGATTGGGGTTAGGTGTCATGATAGTGGTTGGGGTAGTGATAGGGGTTGGGGTCGTTTTCAGTAGCGACCTGGCCACAAATGATAGGTCAACTTCGTGGCTTATCATTTGGAAACGTATTATTGCAAAATACTCCAAGATAAATCCACTCAACCACAGGGAGAGAGACACAGGATCGAACCCATGACCTTCCTGGATGCCAGGCGAGGTAGTTGACATCTCAGATTGCTCGAAGCGGGGATGGACGATGGCCAAGAATAATAACAAGAGTGGCAACTGAGGAATGGAACACGTCCGAAGGGACATCCACAAAGCAGATGGAGCAATGAAATCGGTTATGTGCAGGTGCTGGATTGATCGTTACATCATAAGTTCCTGAGGTGTTGCGGTGGCTTGGGAGGCCTTCATCCAGCAGTGGACTGACCATGTTTCTTAGCACACTGCGCGACAAAATCGGCAGCCCAGTTCAATTCCCGCTTACTACCAACAATGGTGACAAATATCTTCATATTTTTTTTAAACGCAGTTTCCGAGTCTAAAACGTATGGAACTCGCTTGTTTAGTTTAAGTTTAAATTAAATGGAGTGTCCGTGTTGGTGGTGGTGTACAACCATGAATATAAAAACACCACTCTTAGTAATACTGCCACAGCTCCATTATATCTAACTGTATGTTTTCCCATTGCTAAACCTTATTCACAAGGAATGCGGTCGGTTGGTAATGTTAAGCAGAGGTGACCGGGTGGCTACAGGAACTGAACTATTGACCCTGTGCCAGCCGGCTTGTGGCGAGCGTTCTGACCGCTGTGCGCCGTTATTTCCATCTGTACGTGCGAGGCGGGAGAGTGGCGGCGAATCTGACCGTCGATTCCCAGCATCAGCCAACATCCGTGACCAATGACATTTTTAACCACCGGGCCTGCTTCTGGCTTGACCACCAACCCACGCTGACCAGCAGAGTGAATTATGGTCAAACAACCCCCGTGACCGACACGGTGATTGGGAGGCCTCCAACCGTTCTTGATGACCAACGGATAAGAGTGTCACACGAAGGTCGGGATCCATAGTGATTTGGTGACTACGCTGGTCAGTGCGAGTTTGATACGGTGGGTGTGTGTTGCAGTGGGAGTGGCCAGGTTAGGGTCGTTGGGTTCATTTTGCAGCGCACTGAGCACTGCGCCTCTGCTCCGTATAACAGGGACTCCGTAAACTACAACAATGGGGTTGCAGAAATTATGAGGGTTTGCACAACTTTCCTGCAAATGAGAATCGGAGCCAGCCGACCGGTGTGTTGGGCATCAGGGGTCTTGCTGCGTCGCCATTTGGCGTTTCCATGTCGGCCGCGTGCTCTGGTCACCCTGAGTCACCGGAACATTGCTCTTCAAGTTAGGGAGACTCCATGAACGCGAGCTGGGCAGTCAGCATGGCCACAGCACCAGCGTCCATGGATCAGTTTACACCACACCCGCACCTCCGATTAACACGGTTGGCTACGTACGGTGTGAAAGAAGTTCAACTCGCGTACGAACATTCCATCCGGTAATTTTTCCCCGGGGAGTGACTTCCCAAAGCAATGGTCGTCTGCTTGATGAACAGCGTCACGGTGTCTCAACTCAACCAGGCTCAGCCGAGTGGCGGCGACTGCTGTGCTCGCTCTGACATCTCGCGACGTTTCTCTCGTGTGCCTTCAGCTCGCCAGTGGGATAACCGCACCCCGTGTGCCAGGACCAGGCTCGGTGTGACTCCTCGTGCCTCCACCGCCGCGGCAGCGACGCAACGGTGACTTCATCGAGCAACCACTCGTGCGATTTACCTAGTCACACACCATCCACCTACTATACACAGTGATTCACTCACACACCATCCATCTACTATACACAGTGATTCACTCACACAGCATCCACCTACTATACACAGTGATTAACTCACACAGCATTCACCTACTATACACAGTGATTCACTCACACAGCATTCACCTACTATGCACAGTGATTCACTCACACAGCATGCACCTACTATACACAGCGATTCACTCAAACACCATCCATCTACTATACACAGTGATTCACTCACACAGCATCCATCTACTATACACAGTGATTCACTCACACAGCATCCATCTACTATACACAGTGATTCACTCACACAGCATTCACCTACTATACACAGTGATTCACTCACACAGCATCCATCTACTATACACAGTGATTCACTCACACAGCATCCACCTACTAAGCACACAGAGATTCACCGTCCAGCAATTTGACAAATTGGCGTTCTTCGATGTCGCCGCTTGATTCAAGCATCAATAATTAGTCCCGTCTCCTTTTTGCTGTCTCACTTTTGTATCCTCTCTTCCATTTGCCTCCTTGTATCATTGTACAGCGTTGTTCTCTCATTCGCCTCAACGTAACCGATTGCAAACTTTTGGTTGTTGTGCCAGCGATGAATTTCCCGTTCGTTATATTGTCGGCGCTGTTGTCGTTCGTCGATGAGCGATGCCCCCGCCGGGCCACGGGCGTGTGCAGGGAAAGGCGTTTTGATGCGCGGGCACCAAGTGCCACCCGCCCCTGCCAGCCGTTTTACGCCGCCCTGTTCCCACAATCCCTCACTTTCATCTCTGCAACGTGGGCGCCGCCGCAGCGAGGGGCTTCAGGCCACAGTATATTTTTAAGTCAAATCGCGGGGTCGCAGAGTGAACCTACTTTCTTGTGCGGACAAATTGTGAGCGTACTGCAGTGTGTTACTCTGTGCGTTATTAAACTATGAACTATATTTTTTTGAGCAGGTAAGGCCCACTGAGCTATGTAGCTCTTTTTCAGAAGCGACTTGGTCACAAATTATAGTTCAGCGAAGTGGCTTATATCAAGTGAAAGTTGATCGCAGCCAAACACTCTAAACACGTGATGTTGATTTTAAATGTGGAGGGAAAAACTGGAGGACCCGGAGAAAATTCCACGTGACCACGGGGAAAACGTGCAAACTCCAAATATATAGGCCTCAGGGTCGGGATCGAACCCACAACCTCGTGTATACCAGGCGAGGGAGACATCATCTCGCTACCATGGACATGTTATTACATGCCCGCTGCCTACCATCTGAGGCCATGTGTAAAATGCAACAAGTTTATTTTGTTTAATCAGGTATGGACCCAAGATACTGGGATGGTCTTATTTTGCAAGAGTGATAACAGTTATCTGCAGATGATGGATGTCTTTCTCCAGCAGTATGACATATACGTGGGGCACATTTGGTTTGGTGGCAGCTGGCAAGCCCAGCGATCACCCCTCCACACGGATCCAGTTTACAGAGTCCACACTTTGAATCCCACATCCGTCTGGTGGTCACATTTGAGGAGAAAAACTAAAGCATGCCTTCAGCTGCCAAGCAGATGTTAAGCACCGTGGGACATTATTTTCCAGACAAGTCCATAACCTAGACCAGGGGTCGGCAACCTGTGGCTCTGTAAGGACTGCTTCGTGAAGTTATTTGTTCAGGATACACCTCGATATTCACATTCCATTGCGGCTCTTGAATTATTGAGGTTTTTAACGAATTCGAAAAAAATGGCTGCTCTTGTTATATTGGTTGCCGACCCCTAACCTGGACTTTGAATGTTTTCATTTTTCATAACAGGATGTCAAACAACTAAACCACGCGAGGTTTCGTAGGCTTTTTCTCCCACGGGTTGTCACCTATTATTTGGGCTCTTGCAGTGTTGAAAGTCTTAAGACACCTAAATATCAATTAATTTGGCTCTTAAATTCAGAGGCTTTATAGGGATCCTATTCTCTATATTGAGCAAATTATTTTGTGATGCTGCTGCTGCATTGGCAGTGGTGCACAAGTACAAGTAACAAAGGAACTCAACATAATCGCCAATAACACTGGCCTTAAAAGGAAAAATGTATAACAGCTGACGTTTCAGGCATTGACCCTTCTTCATAGCACACGTGACATTATTCACAGCACATGTTATTTCACGTTCTACAAAGCAAGGCCATTGCCACAAATGTAGCCAATGATATATTTCTCCTTAAGGCACTGTTATTGATGAATGTGAGTTTGTTAATTGTGCTTATCCTGTATATTTGTTGTCCACTGAATAAATGAACCTCATGGCGATGCCCCGGGGTACCATAGTTCCCCGGCTCTCGCATAATGGCCGACGATTGCGGCAATCGACTCATCTCGACGAGCTGTACACGATGCACCACTACTGTGCGTACGAGCGTTCAGGGTTTCGGCGCAATCGTCCTCGCTGCGTTTCGGCATCGCGGAGTGGCACTGAATTTTTATTGATTGGTACCCCAGTCGCGGAGTTAAGTACACCCCTGGAAAAAATATTGTCCCAGAAATAAAATATTTAATTGCCTCGGCCAGTTTGTATTATTTGGTACCCTTGGGTACCGCCATGAGGATCAAATGCACGTCATAATTGACTTTTGCATTGGGCTGTGGTAATGATCTGACCAGATTTGTGTCGTTCAGACCTTCACCACCCTGACACAACCAGATTCAATTGTCATGTGTGCAAGTGTTTACCGTGGCAATTTTTAATATTTGAGTTCACCGTGGGTAAATTGAAGATGACATTCTCACGATCAAGTTTAGCAATCTGATACGACGTTTCTCTTATAAAACGATCTAGGTTTAAACATCATCGTAATATATACTTTTTAAAATGTATGAAAAATAAATGGCAGTGGTTTAATGTAATAAAGAGATGCTATTGCTGGGAATATAAAGTCCCAGTGCGGAAAGATCGATGCTGGTTAATGGTGCAAATATAGAACGTGATCAATACTGTGGGAGAAACAAAACCCACTTCCTTTTTGTGAGCTATAATAGCACAAGCCGCTCTATTTGCCTGTAGCTGGATTTCCAAACATCCATGCATCGTCACCATCATTACCGTAGTTAATTTACCTGTAGGGCACCTTCACCAATAAAGCTCAGTCCTGGCAATGGTTCGTCACACGACTTGAACGTCAATGCGTGTACGTACGTTGAACTTCTTCCGCACCGTATGTAGCCAACAGCACTTATCGGAAGTGTGGGGGAAGGACAAACAACTACGCACAAAAAGCAGTTCTAAAGAAATGAGTTTTCAATCCAGATGATTTAAAAGAGCATGGCTTCCATTGGAAGCCTAATATCGGAGGAAGAGGCAATCCAGAGGGCTGCAGAAGTGCACCTGAAAGCGCGCGATGCAGTGACCGTCTTTGTTCGATGGCTAGCCAAAAGCCACTGCTGTGAGGATGACGGAGTTTGCGTGCTGATGGTTTATGGTCCGTAATGAGATCAGAGGTCAATACGGGTAAAGGGGATGATGGTTGAGAAGGGAGAGATGTGGAGAGAGAGATATCTGGAAATTCAGTCCGCATTTCCCTATAGAAGCCTTGAAATGTTATTTATACCACAACTGTGCTGCCTGCACTGTAGTAGCAGGGGTTTGCCCGGCGCAAATGGTGTTAACTGATGCGAATGCCTCGTAAATGAATAAAACCATTGATGTTTCCTGTATTATGGTCGTGGGAGGAAGCTGGGATGATGATGATGTACATCGAAATAGCCAAGGCCATAATTGCGTGTAATGGGAAGCCTAATGCCCAGTTGTAAAGTGAATATAAATTTGATGTTCGGGGTTGTGGCAGCGCTGCTGTAAATATAAACAAGTGCTGATGTCTCTCACCACCACCCCCACACATTCCTGGCGGTCTCTGACATCATTTTCACCAACGGCTCTATCAGATACAGACGGCATTGATCTTCCCTTAATCTATTGGCCATTCACCCCGTCTCGGATCTATAAATCTTCTAGAGGTATCTCTTGCACCGTATTTTACGTCGCACCCTCGCTGTGTAGTTGAAGGGCCCCAGATACAACGCACAGGGGCAGCAGCATAGCTTCTTCCGATTGGTGAGAACGTGGCATTCAAACTAGGGATGTTCACGTCACTTTTCACACTTTGCTGGTAAGCGACGTTGGGAGACGGTGATTTGGTGCTGCGGCGTTGGCAGCGGTGCATAACCTACAGTGAAAAAAAAAACCTCAACACATTCGTCAATAACACTCTGGCTTTAAAGAACACTGCCACTCTACTACGTATGTGCTGTGAAGAAGGGCCGTTGCATGAAACGTCGCCGATTGTGTTATTGCAGAGTAATAGTTTTTTTTTTTACCCAAAATTTAATCTGAAAACGGTTACCGGCTTGCCCTGTTTATCGTTTAACATCCGGTAGTTCAAACGCACGATTCACTTGACGGATTATCATCGTCGCCATCAACCCTCTGGGGTCCTAACACTCATTAGCACCACCGAGCCAGGCTGTGGAACTTCGTGGTCTGTCCCTTGTTGGGTTGCCGGCAGGGATGACCACTGCTCAACATTTCGTCATTCAACAGACGTGCGGAGGAGCACTCTGACCTCTCTCTCTCGTTCACAATCATCACCACCGCCGCATGGATGGTTGTGTTGTAGCTCGAGCTGCTGCAGCAGCAGCCGTAGAGAAACGCGTGCTTTTTGCCACAGAGGAAAAGGGAGGAGTGCAACTCGTACCATTGCCATATAAAGGCAAAAGCAGGGCAAGTTGAGCCTCCCATCCATTGCCCCCCCTTCGTTGAGTCACCTCGTGCCGCGCCCCAGGCTGTGATCTCGCCCAGCTAGAAAAGGCACAATCCAGTGAGCCCAGCGGATAACTCCACCGCCGCCGCTTGCTTGTGGTGTTGGTCTCTCCGCTGTGTGCGTGCGTTTCCTTGTTTCACGCGGCCGCATTCTGAAGTGGGATCAAGCGCAACGTGGTCATCGGTTCAGACGATTGCTGTGCACGTGTGCGGGGGATGGCGGGCAGATAGAATCGAGATGAAGAATGCTGCTTAACAAGGAACCATTAAATCTTGACTTAACGCTTTCGTGACTGCAGGAATTCATATTCACACAAGCGATCGACAGGTCGCAGTTTTTCGTTATTTTCTTTGAACCTATCTACGTGACTTTACCGAAAGACCCAAAGAATAAGGAAGCATTATCCAGTCACTTCCTCTCCTTCCCTATCCCCCCTGCCCCCCAACAATCCCATTCTTGCGTGCCCTGCAATGCAGGAAAGTGTTAGCGCGCAAAATGAGTGGCCCAGTGGAATCTATATATATAAAATCGTTCATGTCTGTCTGTCTGTGTGTGTGTGTGTGTGGACTTTGGCCCATACGCACTTTCATTGGACGGCGGTTGCCCCTGGCAACGGCTAGCCACGCCTTCGCCGCTTTCATTGGACCTGGCAACGGCTAGCCACGCCTTCGCCAAGGGCTGCAGTTTCATTGGACGGCGGTTGCCCCTGCCAACGGCTAGCCACGCCTTCGCCACTTTCATAAGCTCCGTATTTAATTAAATAATAGCCATTACACAGTATTGTTGGAGCGCTAGGGGGGGGGGGAAGGAACGCCACCCGTACCCTGCCTTTTCCAAGCCGACAATTTTAGGCGAGGCCGCAGGCTTTGCACGCTACTAGGCCTCGACACCCACCACGCCACTCTGAGGTAAATTCATCAAAGTTTTTCCTACTCTTCACTACACCCCCACCACAATGTGTGCTATTAATATTACTTTTAAACCCAACGCGCCAACAATCGATTACTTTAATGTTCACTGTACAAATACTCATTAAGCTGGGTGAGCGTACTGCCAGTCTATCATGTACACTGTAGCCTGCTTATTAAGCTCGGTGAGCGTACTGGCACTCTATCATGTACACTCTAGCCTGCTTATGAAGCTGAGTGCGTGTACTGGCAGTCTATAATGTGGACTCTTGCCTGGTTATTATAATCGATTCTTTATATGTTCTTTGTACAAACAGTCATTAAGCTGCTTGAGCGACCCCAGTTCGATTCCAACTCACGCCCACCACCGCTGACGATTATTTGAAACGGACCTGGCCCTCCCCTAGGTCCACTCAGCCTCAAAAGCGTAACTGCTGTCGTGTGTGAACATCGTCACTGGGGAGACAAAGGCGGCGGGGCATCGTGGATCCAAGTCCCGGGCGAAGCCGGGTCATGTGTATGTGTGTTTGTGTTTATGTGTATGTCTGTGTGTCTCTATGTATGTGTGTATGTATGTGTATGTATGTGTTTGTGTGTATGTGTGTGTGTATGTATGTGGGTTTTTTTTTATGTCTTTATGTGTATGTCTGCGTGTCTCTATGTATGTGTGTATGTACGTGTGTGCATGTGTTTGTGTGTATGTATGTGTGTGTATGTGTGTGTATGTGTTTGTGTGTATGTGTGTGTATGTATGTGTGTGTATGTGTTTGTATGTGTTTGTGTGTTTACGCTCGCATTACACAAATGTGTTGCTGGTCTAAGGCGTTCCTCGCACAGCATTGCCGCTTTATTATTTCAGTCGTTTACTGCCTTACGCACCCTGAAAGTCGTGTGTGTCTGCAGCAAGCGCGTGTATGTGTACCTATGGACGCGCGCGCGTGTGTTGTGTAGGGGGAACGGTAGTGTAGTGCTTAGCGTGCTGTCTGTGTCTGTGTGTGTGTCTGTGTGTGTGTCTGTGTGTGTGCGTGTGTGGTGTGTGGGGAGCGGTAGTGTAGTGCTTAGCGTGCTGTCTGTGTGTCTGTGTGTGTGTGTCTGTCTGTCTGTGTCTGTCTGTGTGTGTCTGCGTGTGTCTGCGTGTGTGTCTGTGCGTGTGTGGTGTGTGAGGAGCGGTGGGTGTAGTGCTTAACGCTACGCTGCGCTACCAACCCGGCGAACCGAGTTCGATTCCCGCTCACGGCCACCACCGGTGACGATTATTTGAACCTCCCCTAGGTCGACTCAGCCTCAAACGAGTAACTGGTGTGGCGTATTAACATCGGCACTTGGGAGACAAAGGCGGCCGGGCGTGGTGGATCCAAGTCCCGGGCGAAGCCGGGTAGTACAGCTAGTCCAAATGTAAACAGGCGTGGCTCTTACAGAACCTCATGGCACTTCAACAAGCAGCGCAATATGATTTCGCGTTAACCAGCACGGCCCGTCCAATTGCGTGGGGTACATGGCTCTGGATGGAGGGTGGGGGGATGGGGGAGCGATACGTCAGCTTGAATCTGGTTCAATGCAGCGGAATGCGGGTGATATCGTCGCGCAGATGTAGCGGTGACTTGACTGCCGTGCACTTTCCCGCACGCCAGCCAGCAAAACTTTTTTAAAATATAAAGATAAGCCTGGTTCCGAAGCCTATAGTTTTTTTTTAAACTAAAACTAGTGTAGCCCTTGCATTACATATGTAAATCAAGAGCACTGCGGAATCTTGACGGCATGTAATGAGCCTACCCTCATGGACTCTTAACTAATGACTCTAATGAACCGGTGCCATGAAGAAGACCCATTTGACCTATGATGTATTATTTATTTTAAAGTCACCGTTATAATGACTCTTTACACTGCTCATAGCCCTACCCACCAACTCCACCCATCCTTACCCCCCCTCCTCCCCAGAGAACATGAGGCCAGAAAACGTGAAACCGGGACAAAAAATCCTAACTTTCGCGAATGCTTTGGGGTGACGCCGGGACAGGCTTGACTGAAACCGCCGGTATAGTTGCCGTACGCAAAGCAAACCAGATAACAACACCGCCAGATGAGTATATTTTTTTAATAGATCGCTCTTCCTAAGTCACACGTGTTTGCGACACCGTAATATTTACACACTCATAGCAGGAGAACCAACCCCCGCTCCTCCCTATTTCCAAAGGGGTTGCGATTGTGCTGTCGGTGTCGCGTCGTGAGATGACGAACCTGTGTTAGCGACTGGCGGGGCAGTCCGATAGCCCTCCTGCTCGAGAGCGGTCCACGGACGATCTGCTCCTGGGCTCCCTTAAAGTGACCTCGTGTCTACCCGGCCCTGCAACGGATAGAGATATTCGTCGCGTGGCTATATTTTCCCCATGATATTTTTATTTCTCAGACCTGGAATTTATCCAAATCAAGTGGAGAAAATAAAATTCATATCTTGGGATTTGTTTTTGGAGCAGTCGTCGGCTGAGACCTATCAACTGGCTGCACTTGGGAACTCGGGTTAGTCATGGGCAGCTGGTACCTGGGTTCGAACCTAGATTCTCAACAATGCCAGCTCAGTTTCCTGAACTCGGCCACCAGGCTGAAGTCAGTATGTGGGTAAAATTCTCAAGACTCATTCATATTCCATAGGCCTGGTGTTACAACGAGGATTTTTATACTGTACGTAAAAAATAACATTCCTGTGATGGGAGGGAGAATTTCATTATTAATTTTACTTTTAGATCTCAATTTAAACTCTACTGTGCTATTTATATTTGAGCATGTTTCGTTCCCCATTCTATAAAAACGCAGCCATGTCAGCTGACTCAGGAGTGCCATGACCATTGTTTTCACGCTCTGCTTGAGTAGTTATTCATCTGGCCCCAGTGTGGACGAGTGGATGATTCGTAAACTACCCGCCTGGCTGCCAAATAACCCCCCTCGGAGCTGGGTATGACTGACACCGAGTCGAAAGACGTTCAATGTACATACAAAGCAGGCTTTTATCGTGGCTTCCGTGTGAAGTCTCGACACTCAACCTTGGAGCACAAACCACGGGGGTCTCCACACTGCCAACTTACTTTTTCAACAACAACAACCGCCGTTCGCCACTAAATGGCGATGATGTCACCACGGCGCTTATGCCTGCCAGACTTAGGCGCACCTTGAGGGCATGTGAAGTGTCAAAGGCCAGCTGGCAGGATGTCACGGGACAGACCGAGATGACTGGCAGATGCACATTCTGGGTGCTCCCCACTCTGCCGACTTCTTCGAACACAGCCACACGTCGTTCACCTTTTTCAGCTTCTGCAGCATTACTTTCGTTGCGTGCCAGTGCCCCAGCACAGCTTTCCGCTGCACGCGCAAATCGGTGCTCTTTCACCGGTAATAACCGTGACGCCTCGGGACCACGGCGGTGGCGGCGGCGGCATTGCCCCACGCCGCGCGCGTGCCGAGCTCGCGGCTCCGCGCGTCATCCCGGCACGGCCGCGTGGCGGCGCGCACCAAGGAGGGTGTCACGTGCCCGCGGCCGGCAAGGAGAGCGCTCTCCGCTGCTATTTCCTGTGGCCGCCCCTTCTCCCTGGCTCCCCAACAACAAAAGGGCTTTTATTCGCGAGGCTGCTGTGGTCCGTCACAAGGCCGCCCAGGCTACCCCGCCTTCCCGCCCCCCCCCCCATCAACCACCTCCGGCTGTGGCTGCTGCCGACGCTACCGCCGCTGTTGAGCTCTGAGACTTGCGGTGAGGAGAGAGGGGGAGAGAGAGAGATTGGCTCCTGGCTCGTTCGGCAACCCGCACTTTGGCGAAGAGCAGCGACGCACGGCTGGCCGGTAACATATTGCCGTGTGTGGGTGTCTTGCTTGTTGAACCGTTGTGGCTGTCTGTCTGGCAGAGGTTCTTGCGTTTGTGCTTGGCAGGTGATATTATAGGATCTAGAGGGGCAGCGTGGGAGTGGTTTTTAACTTCTGTTTACGACTGCGTGTAATGATACTACTCCAGCTGTAAATGCTTTCGGTGTACACTTGTTTTAGAGTCGTTGTATATACGCTTAAAACTTGAACATTATCGAGTTGTTGCTTTTGTCCTTTTAAGTTTAAGCTGTCAGTCTGACCTCCTGCTTTAGCAGCTGCGAGAAAACGATTCGACCTATAGCAGCGGTGGCATGTGTGGTGCGGTATAAGTAACAAGGAATGATGATGGTTACACGCCGGTCGGCGATGTGCGGTTGGGTCGGTCAGCGACTCTGACGGACCGGTTTCCTGCGTCGCTCATCCCCCCCCGTTCGCCGCGGCCGTATTTCTTGACCAAATGTTTGGGCGTGCGTTTCGTGTGTTTTTGGGGATGCGTTTCTGGTACGCGTCCCGTGCGCCATCACTGCCGGCCGATTTCATGCCCTGGAACAAAGAGACTCGTGCAGTCAAATTTGGGAAGAGTGCCACAAATCTTGGCGGAGTAGTCCGCAGAGACAACCGTGTGGATGATCTTGAACCTCTCTCAACCCCTTCCCTGTAAAAGTAATTTGAAGATTTGTTTTTGTCAAAGATTGCGAAAGATAATTTGCGGCACCCAGCGAGAGAGTCCATTGATCCAGGACCAATGATGGTCGATGGTCCAGCGTTGTGCGTCATCGTAGGGAGCGGTTTGCTGGCCTAAAAGTTAATTGTGGGGTGGGGAAAACTAACACGTCCCCCAAACAAGAGCACGTGACAACTCATTACAAAGGAATTCACGCACCGTCAATGAGTTTTGACGGAGTAACACCACTCCTTGTTAAACACGCTGAAAGTTTGTTAACTTTCAATGGCTTGAAAGTCGGGCAAGCGAGACAATGGGTAACGCAAGCAGAAACATTTAGGAGGACGTAGGCTAGAGAAATTATCAATACTAAAACTCAACACGTTTCTCGTCGACAATTATATGTGGCAAAAAACCGATTGCCTTGATGTGCCATGAAGAAGGGCCACTGCACGAAACGCCAAAAAATATACCAAATATTATTTAGAAGTCCACGCAATTTTGTTGACGAATGAGTTTTTATTCATTCATAGTGCTTGTGCACCACTGCCAGCGCAGCCGCAGCATCCAGCAGTATCACCAGATACATCGACTTTCAATAGTCGGGTAATTGCTGATAGCGGGCACATTTCATGTTTGCTCTCTGTTCTCTATCTCAGGTTTTTTTTATCAAGCCGCGCAGAGACACTTATCTGCAAGCCGCATGTAGGCGTGCGAGTGAGTTTTGCGCCACTCGAGTTACGGGCTCGTGCACGCACTGTCGCGATTGGTCAAAGCGTGCACAGATAGACACACTGTTGAACATTGTTAACATTCCGTGTGTACCCTTGGCTGCCCGTCTAGCCTTGTGCTCCGTGCATTTCCCAGAGGGATTTGTTTTTGCACGAAAGTGGAAGTTTACCCAGCCCATCGTTTCTATCGTAAACCCTCGTAGTCTGCGCTCTTTCAACGGAGGAATCGCAAAAGGACACGAACTCTGTCCTGAAGCCCTCTCGTCGTGGCGAGCGGACCTCGACGTTGGCATTCAGCTCGTGAACATATTGTCAGACGATAGAAAAGATTATAATTTCTATGAATGTCATAATACCATATTTATACGACTCATTCCTCGACCCAAATCTATATCCAGCAAATGTGAGTTGGAGAAATAAATCTGGCCAGTTCTTCTTTGTTACTGCGTGTTCGATAATGTGAGAGAAGGCTGGAGGAGCTACGTGTTATGTACAAGGGGATGGGGATAAAGATCAAAGGTCGCTGTAGATAGATAGGTTCACAAACCTCAGGATCTGAAACTTTATTGAGACTGCAGGAGGAATCCGATGAGCTCTGAAGCTCATTTTCACAGACATCCAGCGAGTTACATCAACAAACAGTACAACACACGATATCGGAGCAAGATAGAGAAAAGGTAAGCAAGTCGCTCAAATAACTAGATGACGATAAGTAAAGTATAGCGGTAAGAAATTGCACAAAAACTGTACGCACATTCCTGCCGATTTGTGAAGACCAAGTGCAAGTTTTCCGTGCAGCCATTTCACTGCCCGGACTTAGCGTTGGATCTTCCTCACAGCAGGCAAAAACAATTGCTTGCTTGTCCCCTCTGACATCACAAAGGCACACAGGTGTGTGTGTGTGCGCTGCCTCAACCACGGTGGGTGTGGTCTGAGTGGAAGTAAGAAGCACGCCACAACGAGCTGGCTGACAAACGGACAGACGACGCTTTGAGACGTGCGGCAAACATCGGCATTCGCCGGAGCAATCTGAGGTGGGTCTCTCGTGGTTGAAGCGTTGAGGTTTTAGAGTTGTATCGATCGCGTGCCCGCGAGCCACGCGTCTGAATTCCGGCCTCGTTCCTTCTGTGTGTTCGGGTAAACGCGGCGGTGTTTTGCATGAAAATGGGGCGTGGGCATACGACTGTCGCCGTGTACACGTTTGTGTTCATGCAGGTGACGTTCCTGTGTGTACGTCAAGTACAGGCAGTGTTTGTGTGTGTCTGTTAGCATGGAGGAGTGCGTGTTGGTTCGAGTGGTAGTGTAGCGGTTAGCGCCGCTGCGCTACGAACCTGGGTTCGATTCCCAGCTTACAGTCAACACCAGTAACGATAATCTGAACCGGTCTTGGGCCTCCCCTAGGTCGACTCGGCCTCAAATTAGTACCCGGTGCGGTGTGTAAACATTGCCACTAGGGAAACAAAGGCGGACGGGCGTAGTGCTGGCCACCCACCCCGTCGTGTGCCGTGCCGGCCTTCATAGGTGCTCGCGAACAGCACTTGCCCCAACGGTCTGTTCAGGCTACATGGGGCATCTTTGTAAGTTAGTACAGGAAATTATGTGCGTCTGTTAGGATGGGAGTGTGTGTGGGATGTGTGCGTGTGCGTGTTCGTGCAGCGTCTTGGTGTGTTTGTTCGTGTGGGTTCGTGCGGATGTCTGTGTTGAGGCGTGTTGCATCACGGCGCAGGAATCCAGACAGGCCACATGGGGCGGAGGGAGTGCAGGGGTGTGGGGGCCGGGCGTGCTGTGAGTGCGGCTCCTGCTGTTGCTGCTCCTGCTGTTGCTGCTGTTGCTGCTCCTGCTGTTGCTGCTCCTGCTGTTGCTGCTCCTGCTGCTGCTGTTGCTGCTGCTGCTCCTGCTGTTGCTGCTGTTGCTGCTGTTGCTGCTGCTGCTGCTGTTGCTGCTGTTGCTGCTGCTGTTGCTGCTGCTGCTGTTGCTGCTGCTATTTCCCTCTACCGGTGGCTGTACCAGCTGTTGTGCTAGGGGAGTATTTCCCGGGACGCTTCCCCCCCCCTCTTCCTAAGCTGCCGCCGCTGCTGCTGCAGCGCTGAATCCCGGTAACGTCTCTGTCGGCGAAACCAGCTCGCCGAAGTACAGACTTGAAGCTTGCTCCTCGCTCCTCCCGTATCCCAGGGGCCATTCCAACCACTAATATATGGCTGCTATAAATTTAGAGTATTTGGCTGCTGCTATAAATTTCCACATGATGATATGCCACTTTGTTGAGATGTCGTTTGTGGCCAGATCGCTTCTGAAAAATATATTTTTAGCTCGGCGGGCCCTCACCTTGTAAAATAAAAAAAATGTAGTTAGTTAGAATAGCTGGCAGCGTTCATGGCCAGCTTTCTTGCTTGCCGCTGAGTCACTTTGCACGGTGTGGACAGCTTGACACAGCCTGGCCACCCGGCGCTGTCTGTAGAGAACTTGTAAATCTCTCCTTCCAGCGCCACCGGCTTGTTAAATACCACGTTAGTCTTGATTCATTCCTTTCAGTTCGTACTTGGAAAGGAGGCCTTTTGCTGTCAATTGACTTATTGTTATAACCCTTTAGCTAGGTCCTGTTTGTTGCTGGCCGCTCGACGTTATGGGCCCTTTAGACCTGTTCACGGTAGCTTCAGTCAAAGCAGATTATTCAAGGAAATAGAATTTAGCCAATATAAGTGATTCCTGCGCGTGCGCGCGTGTGTGTGTGCGTGCGTCTGTGCAATAGTCCAATCATTCATGCGCAGTATTTAACCAGGTGTGAGCCCATTGAGGTGGCTGGCGTATGTGAAGTTGCCAAGGAACTCGCCTTTATTATTTGGGGACGACAATGGCGAAGATGAATGAGCCCGTTATGGAAGACGTCAAAGCTGCAGCAGTCGCGTTTCTCATCAGCCGCATCACCGCATCTAATGCTGTGGGTGTCGTAACCTTTGGTTGGCAGGGATTGGCACAGTGGTAACACTTGTTACCCTAGGGTGGTATGGCGAATTGCGGTCGACTGCCCAGGGCCCCACGCGGTGGGGGGCCCCAT